CATTCAAATTTCATCCATGTCTAACTTTCCAGCATAGCTAATATAAAAGCACAGAACTCTGAGAGAGCCCACAGTTAATGCTCGCTCTACATCTAATCTGTTTAAATGTTACAATTTCAAGGGATCATCCAGCTCACTTATCAAATAGGATTATTTCAACATAACCAAGGGAGCTGCTGTTTTCATAATGCAGAACGACTTATGAATAAGTCTACTAGAAGACATCAAAATTCCAATTAGAAATGAGCTTTCAGTTCTGGGGGTAAAGCTCATTTTGTAGAGTGCTTTCCTCGAATGCACAAAGCCCTGGGCTCAATGCTCAGCACCACATAAAATAGGCCTGGTGGCATGCACCTATAATCCCAGCACTCAGCAGGAAGATTGGGAGTTCAAGGTCATCCACTGCTATGTAGAGTCTTTGAGGGCAATACATGAGACCCCCTTGAAAGAAAGAAAAGAAGAGAAAGAAGAGGAGAGGAGAGGAAAGGAAAGGAAAAAGGAAGGGAGAGAGAAAAGGAGCTAGCATTCATTGAGTCTATACTTGGTGCCAACTGCGTTTCTTGCTGTCTGTCACTAACATCAAGGGTAACATATACTTCATCAGAGATCCTGTATACCCACTACCACATGAAAGACTGTCATATCCATATTAAGTAGCCAACTCAGGTCAGACTAAGTGCAAAGCTAGGCTGAAGCTCTTCACTCTTAATCACTGTGCTACTATACCATTTACACACACACACACACACACACACACACACACACACACACACGAACTTGCTCGTACAGGGGACAGTGGGATGAATAAGAATGTCTGAAGCAGGAAACAAATGCAGACCAGGACAGGGCAAGAAGTAAATTCTAGTCACCACGTCCCACATAGAGTATGCCTGGCCTCCCACTGAAAACTTCGGTGTTTAGGGGTCTGATTTATATAGTTTTTCTCCCTTTTGCTGGTGTACCATTGATTTCATTTTTCTGTGCTTTGTATACACACACACACGCACACACACGCACACACATTTTTTGCCATCTCCATCATCTCTAACCTGCAGCAGGCCCTTTTTTCCCTTTACCCCAGACGGCTATGCAGGCACTGTGTCCCAGTTTGCCAAGGGCTTCCACATACCTTCCCTTGCCTCACCTCATCCACCACTTCTCATCCGTTTGGGGTGAGCAGCCAGGTTACCCTTAATGCTTACATGCTTAGCTAAGTAAAAGTGATTTGTCTCTGAGTGGGAGACTGAGGCAATCTCCTAGGAACAAAGCGTGTAAGTCTCAGTGCAGAAATGGATTACCTCCTTCGGAATCAAGGACTCCCCTGACTATTCAGCCATTCCACGGGACAATAATTTAGTTAGTGGATTTTAGTGAGCACCTGTAATGAACATTGCTCCATCCCAAGGACTAGAATCTGCTAGGAACCTTGCTACATTCCAAGGACTTGGATCTGCTAGGAACCTTGCTCCATCCCAAGGACTACAGTTACAAGGATGAAGAATCTTTGGTCTCTGACTTAAGGACTTTCAAGACATGCCAACAGATATATTAAAACATAACCACAGTGAGTACTGACAATTTCCCTCTAACCTCCATATATATGCAATGACAGTTGTGCGTGTACATACACGCTAATAATCACAACAATAATAAACAAAGTAGAAAGTATAAAATAGTGTGTAAGGGATGATGGGGAAATATGTATAAATTACCTAACTCAGCAGTTCCCTCTCCTCCTGTCTCTGCCTCTTCCTCTCTGGAGTCCAGGCTTGGCCGAAACTCACTGTGTAGCCAGGCTTCCCTCCAACTCAACAATCCTTGTGCTCCAGCCTCCAAAGTGCTGGAACGACAGACTCCACTTGGTTTAATATTTCGTTCTTTATGGTCTCAGCCAGGTAGCAAAGCTTTGACGTGGCTAGATAGGTAAAATGTGGAGAAACTAGAGGAGAGCTTCTCACCCCTAGACGCATGCCAGAACTGCTTGCATAGTTTTTAAAACACATTTTCTAAAAGCTTGGTCCCTTCAATCACCTTTCTGGAGGAACTTCTTATAACAAAATCTATACGTACCCTATGACCGGGCAACTCTATTACTATACATAAATTCAAAAGAAATGTTCTTCAGGGGATACCCACAAGAACATTCCTATAAAAATTGTTCATTGCAGAAACAACGCAACACACACACCAACTGAAAACTGTTTAAATGTCCATCAGTGAGTGAATAAGATAGACAAAATTTGGCTATCTATACAATGGACTACTACTATTCAGCAATAAACAATAGTTAAATAGCTAGGTGGTGGCGGCACATGCCTTAATCCCAACACTCAGGAGGCAGAGACAGGCCGATCTCTGAGTTCGAGACCAGCCTGGTCTACAAGAGCTAGTTCCAGGACAGATCCCCCAAACTACGGAGAAACCCTGTCTTGAAAAACTAACAAAAAAAAAAGTTAAATAGTAGTACCTACAACATACTAGTTCAAATATAATGCTTAGTGGAAGACATTTTATGAAAACAACACACTTTACCACTCAAACTCATTACCAAACAAGAAAAAAAGCACAATCTATTCTCCTTGTGGAGTCAAGTGGTGGTGCTCCTTGGCGAGCGATCATGCCTGGAAAGGCACACAAGAGTTTTGAAGCTATTGATAATGTTCTAATAAGCCTAAGTTCCCTAAGACAAGTGGAGATTATAGGGGTGTCGTTTGTGAAAACTCATCAGCACAAACAACTAGAATGTTTTCAAGCTTTTAAAATTCTCACCAAACTGACTTAAACATTTAAAAACACCAATGCAAAGGCCTCGTTGCACGACAATCAAGTCAGAAGCTTTGGGCAATAAGATTCTATCACTGTGGTTTTGAATGTACCCCCAGATGCTTCTAATGTATGGTCATGTCTGAAAACCAAGGATCTGAAAACGGCTCCCTGATGGCTCGTGACAGAGGAAACGAGGTCTAGCTGAGTATTCTGTATCTGTGTTGTATCGCCAGGATGAAGCACATGTATGGCTCTTCTCCAAACCTCAGTGTCCACCACTGTGTAGTGGGTGCAATGTCACCTACCTCTCAGGGTTATTGTGAGGATTAAATTAGATAATATACTTGAAGCAGCCAGCCCAAGGTGCAGGAGAAATGGCATTCAGTTACTTTTCTTCCTTTGCATACAACCCCCTGACAACAGTGATGGACAAATGCATTGCTGTAAGTAAACCAAACACATGCCCTCTCAGTTTGCCTCCTGAAGAAGTTTCTAGAGACCAAAACAATCCTCTATGAATGCTTTCAAATGAGGATTGGAAATTTCTAGGTTCCAATCCCTGCTCCCTCTAGTCATCCCTTGCTATCCTAGAGTAGGACTAGAAAAGAGGAAGATCAGAGGGGTACAAACAAATTCCAGACCCTGCCCTCACCCCTAATTACAGAGTGGACTATGCAAGCAAAAGAGGCCAAAGTGAGATCTAGCAAATGAACAATTGGTTCAGAGGCCATGGACCACCCAGACAATGTTCCAAATGAAACACTTTTGTACAAAGTGTCACCTTTTAGCGAAAACAAACAGCAAAATCTGGACAGGAAGCAGAAGCAGAGTGAGCCTCTTGAGTCTGCAGCTAGAAGCGCATGACTTGGCCAAACTTTTCTGTTTCTTTGATAATCGAAAGCAATGTCTGTTTACAAATGCCCTTTATAAGGATATGGTGAGTTGGAGTTCGAATAACTGGAAAGCATTCCAAAAAAGAAAAAAGAAAAGGGAAAGAAAGTTAAGCACCATAGAAATGCAAGGTGAGATTATTAGCTGGTCATTTATTGTATTCAAAACTTCAGTCGTCCTTCAGCAAGTCACATGGAACACAGCCCCTCTCTTGTTTCAATAGCTCCAAGCATACCCTGGGCCACATGGGCCTGGAGTTTGCTTATGTAAGAAGGGACTGCAGCATTGCCTGGCATGTAGCATAATATTTTGCTTAAGAGAAATCTGCTGAAGTCCAAGGGCAGGCCCGGGCCTTACATTTTTGGACAGAGGTACTCTCAGTGGTGGAACACTGAACTGTGGCTGGAGCAAATGATGTCATCGGAGATCCTCTTACCATGGTCAATGTCAAAATTAAGATAGGAAGTTCAAGGACAAACGGGATTTTTTTCCAGGCAAATATAAGAAAGAAAAGCAGCCTATACCTCAAAATCTTGCCTTTAAAATCAATACCTTAACAACTTAAACACCGAGATTCATCCTGTTCTACATGGCTGTTTTGGTTCATGGGAAGCTTTTACCGAAAAATGTAGTTTCATAGCAAAATATATTCTTCGAGTATATTTTTACTCCCACTACACATTAAGAAAAGAAGGAAAAAATGATGTGAGTCACTCCTACATCCAAAAACAATAACAAAGCCAAACTAAAAATGTAAGGTATTGAGAAGACAGATATTTGAGACAGAGATGAACTTGAGAGCTCTCTACTCTAGAACTAAGAAATGAAATAGCTGGGATACCTGTTGGGTCCTTCAATGACTGGAAAAATGAAAACTCGCAATCAACTACAGCTACTTTGGAATACCAGGCAGAGTCCATCCGAAAACCACTTCTGTGACAGACCTGTGTCAAACATTCCCCAATGCATGGATTGCTCCAGCCAGGGAGAGCATCAAATTAATATCAAAAAAACAGTACCGTTCTCTCTTTGCTCTGGTTCAAAGGAGGAGAGAAGACAGAATCCGGACTGCTACAAACCTTGCGGCCGAAGCTGGACAACACACCCCTAAGTTTGGCGCGTCCTTACCCTGTGTCCTGGCTTCCGCCCCGGCTCTGGGTACCCAGGGGCTCGGTGCACCAAGGAGAGGCCCTGGCAGAGAACAGACCGGCGGCGGCTGGGGCTGCAGACCTAGGCGGTCAATCCTGGAGGAAGGGCGGCTCCTCCTCTGGCTACCCCAGCCCCCCAGCACCAAGTCCTCAACATTCCCCTCCCCCTGACCCCTTGCCCCCCAGGCAAGTCACCTGGCTTGGTTCGCTTGTCCTCCTGCTGCTCGCTCCCTCCAACCTCCTCCTTGGAAGTGGCTCGCCCTTCCGAGTCACGGGGCCGCCGAGCGCCGCCAGCCTGTGCCAAGGCTGCGGGAAGCGCAGTCCCCAGATGGAGCTGGGACCCTGCCCCGCACGGCTGCCACCAGGACGAAACTGGAGAGCCTGCTGGTATGGCCGGCAGGGAGGGGCGCCTGCAACTTTGCTCCTGGACGCGTGATGAGGGGGCGCCCGTCTCCAAACTCCTTGCCGAGCTTCCGAGCTTCCCAGGGAAAGGATTTTGTGTATTTATGTATTTATTTATTTATTTTAATGAAGAGGGAAGTCAGATTCTTGCCCTCAAGTTCTCTCTCTAGAGCTCGGATCGCGGGCTGCGGGAGGCGTGCCCCTGTGGGGTGGCCACAGGAGGGGAGCGGGTGGCCTGTGGGAGCCTGGCCGCAGGGTTTCTCCAGACCCAGTTCTGCTGCCTGGAGCCAGAACCCGGGAGGGAGAGAAGCCTGGAGAGACCGGGCCAGCAGCGGGGAAGCGATGACCCGGACCTGGATCGCAGAAGTAGGAACTGGAAGTGACAGCGGCGCAGGGCAGAGCAGCAGCAGCAACAGCAGCAGCAGTGGTGGTGGCTGTGGTGGCAGCAGTCTCAACACCCCAGTAGCCAGGGAAGGAGCAAAAGCCGCGGTGTGAGGGCTGCAGCTACACTGCGCATGCTGCTGCCACCCAGTTCCCAAGATCAGGGCTACCGGGGCTTGGGGTCATTGCCAAAACCCCCCGGCTGGGAATGCTGGAGTCAAGGACTAGCCATTCGTAGTTAGTGGACGACTTTCCTTCCTCATCCCAGGGATGTAACTTGGGACTTGTGATTTGCATGGTGACCCACCGAGACATCCTCCCACCTTTTCCTTTAAGCAGAGAAGCACTTAGTGCTCCTTCACACCCATCTCTTCCCAGAGCAGACCCCCAAATCTGAAGACAGACTTTTCAAAGAAACACATGCTAGGCAAGTGGTCTACCCCTGAACTCCTTCTAAGTTTAGAGATGGGGCCTCATCTCTAACCCAGAATGAACCAGAACTCACATCCTCCTGCCTCAGCCTATGGAGTAGTTGAGATGAGCGCTACAGTGTCCATCTTGGAGCTCAGTTTGTATAGAAAGGTAGCATAGCCAGTAACAGATTAGGTCAGCCGAAGCAGTGGAACTCTATTAGGACTGCCACATTGGCTCAACTAGTAAAGAAGAAAAGGTGCCGAACCCCTTTTTAGTCTTCCTACTAGTCAAATTGAGTGGAAGCTTTGCCCTGTGGAAACGGACAGAAAAGGGCCAAACCATGACCCATTCTCTAATTTCTAAGCAGGCTTCCTCACTGGGTGTGGTGGTGCATGCCTTTAATCCCAATGCTCTCAGGAGGCAGAGTCAGTTGGATCTCTGTGAGTTCAAGGCCAGCCTGGTCTTCATAGTAAGTTCCAGGCCAACTAGGGCTACATAGTGAGAGAGGCCTAGAGAGAGGAAGTCTGAGTTCACACAAGTAACCCTGCCAGGACTTGAAGAAGTTCTTTGCGTCATTAGTTAGGGGTGTGGCCTATTTCTACTTTCCTAGAGCAAGAACATGGCAGATTTCCTTTTAACTCATGAGCGTTGGTAAAGCTACCTTACTTCTAGGACTGCTTCCCTGCAGAACAGTCCCTGGGAAGGGGCCATCCCACAAGCCTCACTTTAGGGACAGCACCCATGCTGCTATGGTGACAAGGCAGATGGAGTGACTCAGGAAGTCAGGAGGGAACAAGGGAGTGGGGCAGAGAAAAGCCAGACTGCTACCAGCTGATATTGGAAGGATGGAAGGAAGGAAAGAAGGGGAGAGAGAGAGAGAAGGAAAGAGGGGGGGCTATTTGAATCACATATTCATTCAATAACCCTTCATGAACAAAGCTTTTTTTTTCTTTTTCTTTTTCTTTCTTTCTTTCTTTTTTTTAAACAAAGTAAGTTGGGTACAGAAGCAGAGGACATGTCTATTTCTGCAAAATGGAGATGGGAAAATGTCCTAGGCAGGGCACCATGGTAGAAGATGATGGAGGAAAAGTATCAACTGGGAATAAAGGAAAAGTCCCCGGGCTAGAGGTGCCACAGACCAGTATTCACATGGCCATTGTCAAGCAGTACAGCCAGAAAAGTACCAATCAGGCCACTCTAAAATGATCAGCCCCTGTTCACGTTGTTGAGTGACTTCCTGGTTTCATTACTGACTTTACCTAAAAATAAGGATCATTTTCATATGCTCTGTATAGTTTTGACTTGACTGAACATCCTCTCTGCCTTGTCCATCCTTTGAGAAAATAAAAAAGATGGATTTAGTTTACAAAGAAGCAATAGAAATGAACGATAAAGGAGTGGCAATATGTCCAAATTCATTTGGGATTGTGAGATACAAATTATAGCAAAAAAGAAATACTATTTCATCCATCACTTTGGCAAACTTTAAGATAAATAATGTGCACCGTTGACAGGGACATGAGGAAGAAAACACTTCCAATGCTTTTGGTAGAAATGTAAGTTGGTAGAGCATTTTTGTAGGAGAATTTGACATTATCTATTAAATCTGACACAGTAATTCATTTCTATGATGAAAGATTCTCCAAGAATAATCACAAATGCACACAAAATTCTATGTACATACACAACATAACTCACTGGGATTTATCACAGGAATGAAAGATTGATTCAATATGTGAGTATCAATCAATGTAATGTATCACTATTGTAAAGAGCCTAAATTAATGAGCAGCTCCACAGAAGCATAAAATGCACAAAGGAAACTGGGGTAGGAATGGTGCCTCAGTTGGTAAAATGTCACACAAGCATGAGGAACTGGGTTCAAACAGCCAGAACTTATGTAAAGTCAGACACAACAGCACACGACTGTAATCTTAGTGCTCCTAAGGCAAGACGGGCAGTGAAGGCAGAAGAATCCCCAGAAACTCCTTGTAAGGTTGGCCTGCAGTATGCAGCATTGAACATTAAAGAGACTCAAAATAACAAGGGGTAGGCAAGGTACATCATCCAAGGTTTTCCTCTGACCTCCATATGAAAATCTCGACTCACATACACAAATATGCTCGCAACATAGCATACACATAGGAGGCATATAAATGTAGCTGAGGATGACCCTGAACTCAGAGCCTCCTACCACCACTTCCCTAGGCCAACTGATCCAGAGTCTGGATCATCATCTTTTATAATAATAAAAAAAAACTTGACAAACTAGTATTATAAGGACATTTCCTCAATACTAAAGTTCATTTATAAGAAATAACGCAGCTGAAAAAAAAGAATACACAGCTAACATTGTACCTACTGGTGAAAGACTAACACCTCTGTAAGATAAAAAGCAAGACAAGACACTTGTTTCTACCACTTCTACTCAATACGTACTAGAGGTTATAGCCTGATAAAGTAGCACAGACAAGAAAGAAGCACAAATATCACCATTTATAGAAGACATAAGCTTGTATATCAGAAATCATACGAAATCCAGCAAGAAACTATTAGAACTTGAAAACAAAATGTGAAAAGTTGAAAGATTAAAAAAAAAACATTGAAAGTTAATTGTATTTCTATGCACTAGCAAGAAATATTCCAAAGCCAATTAAGAAGACAATAGACAATTCTGAGCGGGGTGTGGGGGTACACAGAGGGGGAACAGAAAGACCAGTGTTCAAGGTCATTCATTCTCAACTATTGTGGGTTTGAGGCCAGCCTGAGCTATGTGAGACCACGTCTCAAAAAAGAGCAGAGAAGAAAAGAAATGAAACTCAAAAAGTGATGTGTGTGTGTGTGCGCGTGCGTGTGTGCGTGCGTGTGTGCTGGAGAGATGAGTCAGAAGTTAGGAGCACTTCCTGCTCTTGCAGAGGACCTGGGTTTAGTTCCTAACATCCAAATCAAGTAGCTCACAACCACATATAACTACTCTAGTTCCAGGGGTTCCAATGTCCTTTTCGGGGCTCTGCAGACACCAATATGCATGTGGTATACATACAGAGAGGCAGGTCAGTGCACGCGCGCGCGCGCACACACACACACACACACACACACACACACACAATTGGATTTCAGATAGGGTCTCACTATGTAGCAGTCACTGATCTGAAACTCACAGGGCTCTAACTCCCTCTGCCTTCTAAATGTGGGATTAAAGGTGCATACCACCATGATGGCACAACTAATTTTTTTTAAAATAAATTCCAGTATCTAAATTAGTATCTAAAAGTGTATCCCCATACTTAGAGGAAGTGGCAGAAGGTTCAGGAGTTCAGAGTTAGCCTTAGCTACATAACTACATAATTTAAGGTTGGCCTAGGTTGCTTGAGACCTTATTTTGAATTTAAAAAAATGTATGAAATACTTGGGGCAAAAAAAAAATGAACCAAAGTGGTATAAGTCACATATGCTAAAAGCCATAAAAACAAAATAGAAATGAAAGAAGATGTAAGTGCATGGAGAGATAACCATGTTCACAGATTCAAAGACTTGGTTACTAAAGGAACACATTTCCTCAAAGTGATCTGTAAGTTCAACACAGTCTCTGTCAGGGCCTTAGCTGGCTATTTGTAAGAAATAGAGACAGACATGGTGGCACACACCTGTAATTCCAACAGTCAGGAGGCAGAGGCAGAAAGAAATATTTGTTGCAAGTTCAAGGCTAGCCTCCTCTACAATAGCAAGTTCCAGGCCAGCTGGGACTTTACAATGAAAGTCTGCCTCAAAAATAAATAAGTAGATAGATGAATGGATAGATACATAGATAGATAAATAGACAGACAGACAGACAGAGTGAATAAATAAATAGAAAAGAAAATACAGGCAGGAGATGATGTAAAACTCATGCGCACATTCAACATTTGGAGTATTCTGAAATTGTTTTGAAACTAAGAACAAATTGGAGGACTCATACTTTTTGATTTCAAAAGCTATTACAAAGCCACATTAATCAGCTAAAGGGAAGAAAAGTAGTCCTTTCAATAACAGGTAATTAGAAAACTGCATGTCCACATCCAGAAAAATCAACTTCGGGCCAGTGAAATGGTTCCGTGGGTGAAGTCCCTTGCTGCCAAGCCTGAGTTCAATCCCTAAAACTCACACAGTAGAAGGAAAGAACCTCCATTTGTGATAACATTCTTAGAGGAAAACACAACTATTTATGACCTTTGAGTGTACAAGTTTATCTCAGATGACTCTAAAAGTTAATGTTAAAAAACAAAAGATGAGAGTTGTCTAGATTGCTAGTGGGTGAAAATGTTTGGTGGGGAAGCATGATAATCTGAATTGGATGTCCAGAACCCAATGACTCAGTGGTTAAGAGCAGTGGTCTGTCTTGCAGAGGACCTGGATTCAAATTCCTACACCCACATGGTGGTTTATAACCCTCCGTAACTACAGTTCCAAGGGATCTGACACTTTCTTCTATATCCATGAGCATTAGGCATGCAAACGGTGCATAGACATACATGCAGAGAAACCACCCATACACAAGAAATACAT